AAAGGGGGAATTGTGGGATTCACAGGGAGCATTTCGAGCGACCTTGAACAACGTAGCCTTGAAGGAAATAGTCTGAGAAAGCAAGTAATGAAGCAAGCGCAGAAAGGGAGCTGAAGATAAAAATGTTTTGAAGCACAGCTGTGAGACCCAAACTAGAAGACGTGTGTCTTGAATAACAGCACCAATTAAAACCTTAGCCGCGGCGTGTGGACAGCAGGGGTTAACCAATCCAAGAACAAACTAGAGCGCGTGGACAGCTAGTGAATCTATATAAGCACAAACTTGTAAACAATAAAGGTCTTTGGTTCTACCCGTGCCAGAGCCCGTGAATCAATCCCTACACAAAGTGAGTATGTTCTTTAAAGATGTAAAGCTGTTACTGATTACTTTAAGCACTGTAAAAAAGAAATGTATTTGTAGGGCTTTTATAACTGCATATAAAAATTTAAATTCCTGTTGTTGACCTAATGTGCCATAATACATGGGTTATGTTAACTTACTGGAAATCAATTTAATCTAAAACAGTTGTAGCAAAAAGTCAAATATTGTTATGAAAATTGCATCTAAAGAAAACACTGCTTTAATACTGGAAGAACTATATACGGATAGGGATATCTGGTTAGTAATGCACCAGAGAGTTTAATTCAATTGCCATTGGTCTAGGCTTAAGTGTTTGTCATTTCCTTAGTACTAAAAGATATCCCTATGCTATTTAAATGCATCTTAATTTATCTGTAGAATATATCTGTACTGGCTATGGCAATGAAGGACAACCTCAGACGTTCTATAATGGGCACAAATGCACTGGTTTTATAATTAAAAAACAAGACACATGAATCACTCATCTCTGGTACAAGATGCCAGTGACTTAGTTAAAATCACAGTCTGGGCAAGGAATTAACTAATAACATGTCCATGGCTCACACGTCCATAAGTATATAAAGTAAATAAATAAGTACTATTTATAGCACTAAATATGGCTACAAGAAACATGCTGTCCTTACCATATGCTAATGAACATTGAAACAGCTTTGACATAACTGTAACAGCCTTTACTTGTCCATAATCAACACCATGACAAGCGTTAAGAAATTCTCGCAAACAGCAAGAAAAACAGTAATAAGGGGCTAATAGGCTTTATACAGTCATTTTAACTCTGATTCATTGATACACATTGAACTGTTAGTGCAAAAATGCCATTTAATGCTTAAGAAATTTAGTATATGCTGATAAAGTTCTGAGTGGGTAAAAAGTATAAAAGGCTAAAGCTTTTCTCTCCTCCCTGTCTGGATTACTGCTGTTTCTCCTGAACATGAAAGTGCTAACAAGAGTTCTACCAGCAGTTCTCAATTCAAGCTACTGCTTTCCAAAGCTCTTGAAACAGCAGCAAGGCTTAACACTTTAATCTGAGAGTTTAAATGCTTATCATTAGTCCAATTCCCTGCTTTCTATTTTCTTTGTTCCATCAAAGGACAATTGCAGCCCAAATTTGCAAGTTACATAATTTGAGACCAGCATTACACAATTAGAAAACTGCTGGATTGTGGCTGTTCTCAGTTTATTGCAGGAGATGCATTTATGTTTGTATCTTACTTCCAAGAAGATAACTGCTTCAAAAGCAATAGGAAGGAGCAAATAACCCGTACAGTAGTTTAAAGAAAAGTGTCTTAAATGCTAATGTCTGGCTTATTAACCTCTAGAGCAAAGATATTCAGACACCTGCCCATCAATGTTAGGTCCATGGCCTGGGATCAGGCATTTAAAAGGATGGTTTATAAACAAACCATCTGCTGTCCTGCACACACCTTATTTCTATGCAGGGAGGTAAGTGGGAAAAGTAAATATGGGTGAGCATCTGAAGCTGAACTCTGCAGAATGGTGAATAAGGGCTCTAGGAACGTGCCTAGAGTACAGTTCCCCCTCAAGAGATCTCACTGCCTGTGCTCAAGCCAGCTCTGATCCAAGCTGTGTGGCCTGGGACCAGGCTGCTCATACCCTTGCTAGAGCTGTGCTGTTAGCTGTGCCCATGCCTGGCCATGTCCCTGCTGATCTGGAACCCAGCCTGCTTGACTTGGTGTCCTGGCTTGACCTCAGCATTACCTCATCACCGTGACTTGCCTGGCAAACCACTGCACTGCTGGCAGAGCCTGGCTACTGCCACTGGACCAGCTCTGCACCTCCTGCTCAGGCAGTGCCCTGAGGTCACTGCCCTGCCTGTTTTGCTATGAGAAGGACAGAGGGAATGAAGACCACAAGATGTCATTCTCCTGCTAAGGTACTAGCCTGATATTTAGAGAACCGAGCAACCCCAGAGTCTCACCAATCTAATCGATCAAACCTACTTCTTCCATCTCTCCCAGTACCAGCCACCAAATAAGAAAGACAGACTGAGGAAATCAAAGCCCAGGCTCTCTGCAGAAAGGGACGTTAACTTAAATAAGACCAGAAAAGGGATACGTTACCATCCACATGTAGCTCCCAGGATTATTTTTATATGGCAGGTTTATATTTAGAGTGATTTCAGGCATCAAAGGAATCAACCGAGGACATAGACTGATCAACTGAGCCCTTCAGTCTTTAAATAAACTTTCATAGAGCATTTTTCAAATCTAAAATAGATGATTCCTCTCAGGGAAAAAAAAAACCACAAACACAAAACCCCACACACCTTTAATATTACACTTCTCTGAATATGTGGTCTGTATGCTTTTGTTCTCTACACTTCCCCCCAGTTCATGGGATTTTTATATTTACAGGTGACTAGATTTAAGGAATGGAATAGAGATTATTTATACAATTCATGTTTGCAAATATATCCAGTCACCCTGTGTGAAAGGCATCAAACTGTATCAGTCCAGATGAATGACAAGAAAAGAATAGTTGTGTAGAATGCAAAAGTCTGTAATAAGAATTTGCTGGTTTATTTTGAGTAACATATTAATTCTCATTAAATGCAAGAGCTATGCCAACAATTCAGCATTATCTAATAAAGCATATTTTTGATTTATGAATAATAATCTGTAAAAGTGAAAAAAGTGACATTTAGCTGGTCACTTCTTCTTACAAGTAACTGCAAGTAACAGGTTTGTATTCATTGCATTACAGCAGAACCCTGACAGCGAGCTCTGTGATTGTGTTTTGTGGGACCAGGTTCTAACACGCAGTGCTGGGAGAACAAAGTCCCTGACTGACGAATATCATAACTGGATAAACTGGCAAGGAAAGGGAGAAGTAATGTAATAAGCACATTTTTTATATTAATTACTAATGACAAATTGGCACCTCCTCCCCCATTGTTTTAGAGGTATAGATGATTTTAGAATGACAAGTCCAGATGTACATTTAAGCTTCAATCCTGCAACTGCCTGCAAGTGCCAAGAGATCTTTGCCTACAGTAAGCTGCAGGACCAGAAGCTAAACTCATGCTATACACCTATTTTCTTGCTTCACAGTGCAGAAAACATTAAGACAAATACCATTTTGGAAGACATAACAAGGGCTCTCAGCATCGGTCCTTTAAAAACACAACCCACATCCATTAGGATATGAAAAATACAATGCACAGATCGCAGTGCCTTTTCCACTTTTGTGTAGCACATTTGGGCAGTTGCATTTTCAGGCTTCTCAATCACGTATCTTCTGGTGACTTGATACAGACTTACGGCTTAAGAGGCTTTTCCATGATCTGCAATCCAAGCCGTCCAACCATCAGTAAACTGTTGAACAAAATAGTTGTTATAAAAAAAAAAAAAGAGGTGGAGGCAAAAAATCTCATAAAGAACAAGAAGGAAGAAAACACTGACATGATTTCATTTAGCTGAACTCCACCAGAAGATTTCATTTTTCACAGAACTTACCACGTAACATTTTTAAAACAAGATCATCCACAAATAAGTTAAAATGTTTATTCAAAACTACAGAAAAGAACAAAAGACAGGTGACTACCTGGCACCAGCAATTATCCCAGGCATTGCTTTTCTGGAGTTGTAAAATCTCATTCCCATAACAGCAGACAAGGTTCCAGATGCCACTGTTAAAAAGAATCCCAGTCAGAACCGTTTGAAACGGAAACATCAGCACAGCACTGCAACGCTTGGACATTTAGCAGTGCCAACCAAACAGGCCTATGTCTACAGATGGGAACGCCTCCCTCCACAAGGAAGCAAATGCAAACATTTTATTTATTTTTGTTAAACAGTAGAGCTGTTGAAAGCTTCTCAGCAGCCTTGGTAAGCATGCTCTACTGCTCAGTAGAAGCAAGTAGATCTCATCAGGGTTAAGACTACTATCTAATCACCCACAACCACCAATCCTCTGGGCAGATCACAGTGACAAAGTTCACTATGTGGGAGGCAAGTATTATTACAGTCCTTATTTCTCTGTGACATTCTGAACTGGAAGGTGGCACTAAATACTACAACTAGAAATAAAACAACCCCACTTGAAAATACGAATTAGCAAACAAAAAGCAATCTAAGGGATCAAACTGAAAGAGCAACTAATATTTTAAACATTACCACAAATTATTTAATCACTAAGTCTGGAAAAAAAAAAATCCCATCAATATTCACATAAAAGTTACAAAGCCATTGTTTCTTTGAAGAAGAAAGGTAGGTGGAGGTGCTGTATACCTTTCTCCAAAGCTTCAAGTTTGTTTGCATCAGACAGGGCAAAAGCTATCCTAAAGATACTCTGTCAAGGTTCTTTTTCTGGATTTCTACCCAGGATGTACTGTGACCAAACTAAAGCTCAGCAGGAGTCACAACTGCACATCACAGCGAGGCTGAGGAGGAATGGATGAATAAAAAGTTGTATTAGACTGGGACACCACACGGCTTTCAAGAGATCCACCTGAAAGCACTATGTCCACCATATCAGGATATATGGAAGATGCTCATCTTTCTGTCACGACAGTGCCTAAAAACTCGTGCCAGAGATGCACAGCCACTCCCACGGCATGCCAGATTGGAAGAGACAGTTCACAAATTGAAACTCTGCTTCACATTGAGCTGTGTTTCACATTTCATTCCTTACTGCAGTTTGGTCCTCTGTAGTCTCTACCAGGGGCTTCATAAAACCTTTCAGCACATTACACAATCAAGTCCTATTGGTTTTAAATAGTCTTAAATCACTGTAATGCAATAGTATCATAACACTAATGATACTATGGCATAATTACAGAACTACAAGGAACCTCAAGCTGTCATCTAGGCTAACCTAGTGCCCAAAGGCAAGACCAATTCCTGACAGATACTCGTTTAACCAGGCACTAAAATCTTGCAGTTATGGCAGTGCCTGCGGTTCACCTGATCTCTTCCAGTGCTTCATAACACTTTCCATTGTCATTTTATCCTTCTCCTTCACCCAAAGGGTTAACTGCAAGCTAAACCCACAAATTCTTGTCCCATCTACTGTAAGCAAGCAGAACAGACCTGTTGCCTTCCTTTTACATACTTCAGACTGTTTCTTCCACAGCATATGACACATCAGAACATATACTGCTTTTCTGAGATGCTTGTGCAAACCAATATTCCATGAAGCCACATACCACTTGTCACTGTGCTATCCCTATTGCAAAAATGCTTATTCCATGATCATAGGCTAAAAACACTAATTCACAACCAAACATTTGTCATGTACGTTTTCTATGCCTACATGAGTTTAACAGAGTATCTAATCTGGAAGAGGAGATAGGTATTTCTCATCAGCTCTGGTTTCAAGAAGGACAACCTAGGTTTTAGAACCAGGTACTGTACTCTTACACAAATACCCCCTGGCTGTGGGCAAGAGGTCTTGCCACCACTTACAACATTTGTACAAATAAAAGGGCACAAATCAGCTGAAACGTGCTAGAAAAAAAGGTTACTATTCCCACTCCTACCAGGAATGCTGAGTACCTGGGTGCTGAGCAAACTTACCGAGGGAAAGCCACACATCCTTTGGATCTTTGGACTGCTGGTAAGCACCTAGTCCTGCTAAGCCACCAAAGAGAAGGCCAGCAGCTAGAGAAGGGACGCTGCCTGGAATAAAATGAAAGATAAAGAAGTTCGTAAAAGAGCACACAGACAGCTAGTCTGCAAACCAAACAAAAGCACTTGCAAGTATCCGTTACTAAGAAATCAACAAAAACAATCTAAACAAAAGATACTGGAGTGGGTTTATTTTATTAGTGAGGAACTTTGCAGA